TGAACTAAGGTCCACATTCACCTCCAGGAGCCACATGATAGGCACCACATTATAAGAACCACACTAAGGAAGCCACATTGATGCCACTCTGTGTGAAGTTGTTCATGTCTTTCTGATAGAATTTTTTCTTTTTCCCTTGGAGTTTTCCAGTGTTGAATGGATCTGGACTATTCTAGGTTTTCCACCTGCAAGGTCATTAGAATTCAATGGTAATTATTTGATTAGTACATGTATTTAATTTGATAAAAAAGATAGAACCTTTGAACATTACATTAAACATTAATTTACTTGGTTGTATAATTTTTTTCTAATTAATAAACAGAATCTTAATGTTTTCATAGATGTGCTCAATTCAGGTAAATTATTCATAGATAATGTAAGGATCTATAAAACATTGAACCTATGATAATTTATACTGAGCTGTGAGTGGATTGATCTAACCCGGGGGTTGTATAGTGTGTATACAAGGATACAGTCTTAACCTGTCTCCATATGTAGCAATGTCAACAGATGGTTACAGTCGATACACTAGATATATATATATAACGATCTTAAAGAGGGGGGGGGGGTTATGGTTACAGTCAATACACTAGGTATAAGATAAGATAAGATTTATTAATACCAATTTGGGGCCCATCAGGGCATACAAGTAATAAGAAAAAATATACAAGAAGAAATTCAAAATTGATAGTAGCAACTAACAAAAGATAAATGATGATAGTTGGGGATTACAACATATATAATCAACATAATAATCCTCAAGAATGGAGAAGAGGTGTTGCCACTATCAACATATCTATTGCCACTATAAATCTATATTAATATTGCCTAAGCCCCCCCCCCCCCCCACACACACACACTTGTGAGAGATAATACACTATGACATAGTTAAATAGTCTATAGAGAAGGGGGGGGGGGGTTAAGGTTAATGTTAACATAGGTTTATACAGTCAATATAACATAGAGAGGGGAAGGGGGGTTAGGGCAATGTTGTTATAGGTTTATGCAGTTAATGTAACATATCAGTAGTGAGAGATAACACACTATGACATATGAGTCTATAGAGAAGGAAGGGGGTGGGTGTTAAGGGCAATGTTAATATAGGGTTATACAGTCAATATAACATTTGTAGGTGATGTGGTCCTATAGGGGAACGGGAAAGGAGGGGGGGGGGGGTTAATTGAAGGAGGTTGCCCCAGTAAATATGATAATTTTATTTCCACATCGCAGCATTTATTTTTTATATTGTGCCAAACAGAGTACAAAGTATAAAAAGTCACACAGGTGACAACGTTTCTACCGGAGTAACCCCCTTTAATGGTTCTGTATGTATTTATAAAGTTCAGTTGTCATAATCTGGCCCCCATTTAAATCCCTTTACAAAGCTAAAGCAAATGAACTGAAAATGAAAACATTTACATATTCTCATTGGGGTGCCATTGTGCTGTCTGATTTTATTGTTAAATTTTTAACATGTTTAAGGTCAAACATTAAACATTTTCATTTAACCTTTCCAATTAGGGGAGCTCTGTTATTTAACTAACTCTGTATACATTATAATGATTGAATTTAACATTCCTGTATCGTATTTTCCTTTCCGTTTTCCGTTCCACCCCAGCTGAAAAACTTCATAAACCTTGATAAATGTATAATTATACCTTATTTAATTATTTATTTTAAAGGTTTGAATATATAATTAATTAAATAAACTTTCCTAGGTTAAAAAAAGTCTTATAAAAAAAAACTAACTTAACCCCCTTCCCCGCAGTCACGCATTTTAACACATATACCATTTCCTATTTCTGACGCAAAATCACGCATTTACCGTTTCCCCGCAATCACGCATTTTCACGCACTTTAAAAAGTTCATTAAATCTTCAATTTATTGCCAAATTCCAACTATTTCATACTTGCTTAATCTCACAAAATAAGAAAAAATATTTTCCAGTTGAAATATTGCGTCATGACATTATTTACGCTAAACTTTAGAATTTTAGAAAGTGCTCGCGGGGAAATGGTAACGTAATATTTCTATGACGTGAGGATTCAGTTTATTTTGCATAACAATTCTGTAAGTTGTAAAGTGTTAATATATTCCATTTATAAAAATAGAATTTCACAATATGCGGTCATACTTCTCATGTTTAATCATCATTAAGTTTTCAAAATAATTACGTAATCATTGTGAAGATGGTTTATAACAAAATCAATAAAATATATTTAATAAAATTGGAAATTCGATGAAGGTTCAAAACATATTGATAATTTTGAAGTTTTGATTGTACATATGAGGTTCATGTGTATGTATAAATAAGGGTTATTTTGGATTTCTGATTAACGTAAATAGGATTTAAATGTTTTATTGTTTGTCGATTAATTCTCAGCAGTTAATAGATACCATCGTAATGAGATAATGTTGACAACAGACAAGGGAGGTCACTGTTAACAAAGGGAAGTCACTCTATACAGCCCCTTTTGTATGACTGTACCTCGGTGAATTCAGGATGCCGTGCCGCTTCTCATTCCCGCGTGAAGTCTGATGTCGATCTGGAATCTGATTGTCACAAACCATTTACTCCATTGTAGAAGAAATTTTGCAACAAAATTAAATAATCTGTAGATTATGAGATTAAAGTAAATCTGATAATAAGGGATTATATAGACTGAGTCGTCATTAACTGGACAGTAAATCTCGATCTGGTTTATAGCGGTCCTTGACATAAAGATGACGAAATCACCTGTCAACACCAACCGCCCTGACGGTCTGTTTTCATGTGCCTCAGGTTTGCTGAAAAGTTAGTGTTGCTAGTACATAAAGGAGCACACGCTGACAATAGTGTGTTTATTCCTATATATAAGTATATACTATTCTATCTGCTGATGTTCTTTTAAAATTTAAATCAATCTTACATCTTTTGTTCAGCTTAGACTTCACTATGTAAAAGGTTCAGCCTTTACTAGTATCTAGATGTTCAGCTTAGACTATGTAGGATCTTTAACTTAAGACAGCTCAGCTAAGTTCAGCTCAGTATTTGTAAATTAGCCACGGACTAAGGACTCTGTAGACGGTTCAGTGAAGACTTTGTAGACAGTTCAGTTTACACTTTGTAGACAGTTCAGTTTACACTTTTAGCCATACTCTTTTTAAAACTAATTAACATAGTTTTATAAATTGGGCTTACCGACATGAGTTTAGCTTACAAGACAAAGTTGACCTTGTGAGACAAAGTTGAGCAAACATAGTGCGCTAATTAGATTTAACATGCACTTGCATGAGTCAACTTTGTAAACTCATGTCGGTAAGCCCAATTTATAAAACTCAGTCTGGTAACTTCATTTTAACCCTGTCAGGAACATGTCAGGAGCTCAGTCGATACAAGTACGATTTCTCAAATAATGTTCACTACTGAAATCAGTATAACGTATAACGCCTTTCAATTTAAGCACTCACAATTAATTCATGTATATACTCTGTATCCGAACAGTTACTGAGCACGTACAGATTCACTGACGACGACTTTGCGACCTTGTTCTAGTCACGTGTTACACGGCGCGCGCTGTAGATGGCGCTGATAAGTGTGTTCCTGTCACGTGTTATACGGCGCGCGCTGCAGATGCCGCTGATAAAAGATTCCCATCCTGTGCCCGTCACAATTAATTTATTATAATTAGATAATATTCCTAGTAAATATCCCATTCTATCAGACCGATACTAACTAACAATGCAAGTTAATTCATTTCTTTATCTCTCTCCATCTCTCTCCCATGTCATTGGATCCGCCACACATGCAGAGAATGTGATGTTGAAATTGTTATTGATGTTTTTACTTTATCAAATATTTTTAAATCTATATTCATAATATGTCACAATACAGTGCACTAGCTGTAAACAGTACTTTGTGCAGTATATGTACACGGTGTAGCAGCTATTTAATTGTCTTCGCTGTTATTTTTAAATTTCATCTCGTTGTTACTTGGCGTTTTATTGTGAAGAATTATTTTTTGGTTGCAGTGTTCGAAGTCTGAATAATTGATGTCCATCGTCAACCGGAGCAGCGTTCCGAGGGCTCTGTGTGTAATTAGTCCCGGCAGCCAGTGACTGGGCTTCGTGATTAATTAGTCCCCTCAGCTCCAGTCCGGGGGGATGTAGTGGTTTCTGTTAGATCTGTGTATAATTATTCTCCTCAGCTACAGACTGGGGGATTACGGGGGATGTAGTGTCTTCTGATGGAGAAGGGTGACGATACGGAGAGGTCCCTCCTGAACCACAGCCCCAGCGCTCCCGCCACACTCGGGGAAACACCCACCAACAACAACCACGTGTCCCTCTCCCCAGGGAAGAGGTATGACGCCCCCTCGGGAAACAGGGCGGAGGAGTCCACGTCGGCGTGGATGGAGTTTAAGCCCGTCATTAATCAAATGGACAAAGTACTGGAGAGTAAATACCGATTCCGTGGGAAGAATCACGTGACACTTAATGTACAGGGCAAGGTATATAACTTCCTGGAGCGACCCTCGGGCTGGAAATGCTTCATCTATCATTTTACCGTGTGAGTATTATAAAATTATACACCTTATACTAATACCTGAAATGCTTTATCTATCATTTTTTCATTTTTAAAAAAAAATACACATTTATACCTGGATGCTTCATCTATCACTTTACCGTGTAAGTATTATAAAGGAAATCACCGTCTTGTTTGTCTGGAATGCCAGAACATCGACGATAGTTGGAAACATGGAATTGTTTCCCAGGTAGCACATCAACGTTATTAAAACGTTATCAAAACGTTTTCAAAATGTTACAAAAACATTTTCTAAAACGTTATTACAACGTTATTTTGTATGGTTTTTTAAATGTTATCATAACGTTTTTCAAAAACATTGTCCTGCAATGTTTGGAAAACATTTTTGAAAACGTTTTCAAAACATTTTTAAAATCGTTTTCAGAACATTTCTAACATGTTTTAAAGGATTAAAAAAAATTACAACAAAAAAAGTATTGTACTTCCTATGGTTTTAATTGGTTTAAACTCTTTCACAAATGTAATCCATGAACTCTTTTTTACATCCACACAGTCAATAACAGTCTTCTTAACAGGGAAGATTTGTCACAATTGAAATAAGAAAAAAAATCACAATATTCTTCTTCCTTTGGAAATCATCTGTTTGGCACTTGGACTTCTTTGTTTTCTTCTGTAAAACAAAGATATAGAGAATAATTTTAGAAGATTTAAAAACTATACATAGTCATAAATCCGATAAATACAAGAAAAGTGTGTATGTTTTTGACAACAGTTCTATAAAATATATACTAAATAAACATGATAAATCTATCTCCGTTATGCATTCGTGTCAGGAAATTTCAAACATACCTTTAAAATTAATACCCCGGTAAATCCCTCAAAGATGGTGTGTAGCAAATTAAACTTCATTCCGTCCAATTCCTCTCATAACATGTAATCTTTAAAAAGGTGTATTTAGTCTTTGCAAACAGCCGCTGTAAAATGAAAAATGCATATGCTATTCATTTTGAGAATTGTAAATTGAAAAATATATACATGACACTGTATATAAATACAAATCATTTTACATTTCCAAAGAAGTATTAAACCAACTCGTTAAGCCCCCCCCCTTCCACACGCACACACAAACACGCAAACTCAACCTACTCGATCTATTTAAATCATGTTTTGAAGCTTTCAATTTGAAAGTCTATCTCTAAGCCTGGGGTGATAATACTAAAGTACACATTAATAAAGAAAATTCACACTATACACAAGACATAATACATATGTAAAATAAATGCACAATCATGATAAACTTCAATGATCAGTTTACTTCAAAAACACCAATTAACCGCCCTCAAATATCCAAGATATATACACAATTGTTTACAAGGAATGATTCAGGCTTATACAAACACATGCAGCTATAATACTATTTCTTAATACATGTATACACGATGAATACAACTTTAAATTCAACTTACCATACGATGATGTAAAATATTCCCTAAATCCTGTTCTTTGTCTCTCAAGAATGCTGCCCGGTTTTTCAAAATCTTGATAAGTTGACCTATATAGATCACGTGGAACTAGTTTGCAGCAAGGAGCGGTTTCATCAGCGCTGACCACGGCATCCCGCTGTGTCAATCAATTAACTTTTGATAAACGCGTTATCCAGGAGGAAACAACACAAGTGAATAAATGCACTGCATTACTTTGTTGAACTACATCACATCTTAGAAAAAATACTTTAAAATGGATTTTTATACATTTTTCACAATCATTATGGTTTTTTGTAGGAATTCAATGTGGCATATAAAACAATTAAAAAAGAACTGAATTAAAAACATTTTTGTTTATTTTTTTTTACCTTAACACTGCTTAATATGCTTTAAAAGATATCACCTAGTATTAATAACAAACAAACAAAAAAGTAAATGCTAATTGTATATTTTTTTTAAGAATTGAAATATATAGAGATATTTGTTGTTTCTATAACGTTTTAACAAAGTTTTCCAAACATTTTAAGACAATGTTATATTCATGTTTCCTGGTATCATTTGTAATCGGAATTTGTAATAAATTTCATTCAATTTAAAAATAAATATTCTTAAAATTTGAGTCAACGTACACAACACACTGTGTATATTCTTAATTTCATATTATGAGTTTTTAGAATAGTTTTTCTCAAACAATGGAATATGAAAACATTTTTTATAATGCTTTTTAAGCAATAAAAAAAATTCTTATTATAATTATAAAAATGTTATGCAAAAATGTTTTCTAAAACTTCCTTCCAACCAGTATTAAACGTTATGAAAAACATTTTTAAAATGTTTTTGAGAAACGTTTTCTAAAAACGTCATTATAACCTAGATAAAACGTTATAAAAACATTTTTCAAACGTTATGTCAAAAACGTTTTGGAATAACATCCTTACAACCGGAATATAATGTTATGAAAACGTTTTGTGCTACCTGGGTTGCATAATAGGCGAATTTATGCATAAATAACCCTACGTTTTCAGTTACCGTCTATGCCCGCGGTATGCCCAATAAACTAAACAATGATTCCGTATATTTCCATTTCATTTTGAAATAAAATTGTAAAAAGTATAATAGATTCCATTGACACGAGGCCTCTCATGTCAATGTCAGTTTCAATAGTTCCTGCCTACTGACGTCATGCACAAAAACAAATGCATGAGATTTACATGCATGTCACATGTAATTTTAAATTAACATTCTGGTAGAGTTATCAAGAAATCAACTTAACTAACTTTCAAAGAAAAAACACAAATAGAAACGGAAATCTTAATCGTTTCACTTTATCATTAAGGAGATCACTGTCTCGTTAGTAGAGTATGCCCGGGCAGAAACGTGGGATAATTTGCATAACGGACGAGTGTGTTAATTTTTCCCTCTAACTTTTGATTGAGAAGAGATAGGGCTTTCATATTTGACATGTGCATTTCCTGTGACAAGACATTTCCGCACTTGCTATGATTTCTTCCTTATATTTCCATTTTATTGTGAAATAAAATCGTACATTTAGATTTTTAAATTGTAGACGAAAATATTTCGATTACACGAGGCCTCCCTTGTATATTTCGATAGTCCTCGCAAACTGACGTCAAACGCGAATACAGCCGCACGAGAATTATATGCATATTTGGCCTCCTTAGTGTCAGACACAAAGACAGGCGCGCACGAGATTAACATGCATATAAGGCCCCCTTAGCCCCTGACCTTTTGCTTTGCATAAGTTATATATTCCGGTAGAATTATCAAGAAATCAGCTAACTCCGCTAAATTTCAAAGAGTTATCACAGAGAAAACAACTAGTTCAGCATTACTTAAATGCTGTATTTTGTTTTGGTCTCATCCCTCTGCGATACGAGATACACTGTAATTGTTTATTCAAATATTTATGCATTTCTCACTCAGAAGTCATCGTTTCGTTATTATTTTCGGTTTAACTTATTACAGTTGTGGTTCTTAAGATAAATATTTGATGCATTCAGGACTTCATACTGCATGAAAAGTTCGCGACACTTGGATATATCTGTATATCTTAATGACAATACATTTACAGTTTTGTAGATTGGGTAAGGGTAACTGACATGCTCGGTATAATTTAAATTGAGTGCATCTGTATGTCTAATTGACTTTGTCGCATATCTGCGGTGATTTTCTTTGATCTTTCTGTAGTGATATATCCCATATCACATATGCGATAATACTTTCCACGCCCCTTCATATATCACTGCAGAAGGCATAAATCAGGTCATGAGAAAAAAAAACTTATTTTATTTCACAAGTTCATAACCACAGAAAAATGAACATGTATAGCTATTTCTTAGCCTTTAACTAAATTAAAATACATGTATTTAACTCGGTTGAAAGTTCCCAGTCGTTCAAAAGATTAATCCATTTTGAAAATTTGAAAGTTACGGTAAAATCTCCAAACTTTTTATCGTTAAACTCCTTGCTATTTGTTTCTGTGATTTCATATATGTTGAGTGCCTGGCTCAAAAATAAATTGTCAAAATCTTCAAACTCAGTTAAAAACTCTAAGTCAAATTCACTAAGAACGTCCGGCATGTTGGAGAGCTTGCTTGAAATGAATCTTTTTTTTATTATTGAATTTTGACACTCTCAGTGAAATTTACGTCATCAGACATGCGACTAGTTGCTTACATCATAGATGCCTCGTACTATTGGTTATAATGTTTTCATGGGGCGTGGAAATCGAGGGCGCGGTTTCCACGCCCCATGAAAACGATATAACCAATAGTACGAGGCATCTATGATGTAAGCAACTTGTCGCATGTCTGATGACGTAAATTTCATTGAGAGTGTCAAAATTAAAAAAAAATATTCAGAGTCATAAACTTAAAATTCATTTCAAGCTAGCTCTCCAACATGTCGGACGTTCTTAGTGAATTTGTCTTTCAGTTGACTTTTTAACTGAGTTTGAAGATTTTGTCAATTTATTTTTGAGGTTAGCACTCGACAAATGTGAAATCCCAGAAGCAAATATCAAGTAGTTTAACGATATAAAGTTTGGAGATTTTTCCGTAACTTTCAAAATTTCAAAACGGATTAATCTTTTGAACGACTGGGAACTTTCAACATGTTAAATACATGTGTTTTAATTTAATTAAAGGCTAAGAAATAGGTTAACATCTTCATTTTTCTGTAGTTATGAACTTGTGAAATAAAATTAGTTTTTTTTCTCATGACCTGATTTCTGCCTCCTGCAGTGATATATGAAGGGGCGTGGAAAGTATTATCGCATATGTGATATGGGATATATCACCACACAAAGATCAAAGAAAATCACCGCAGATATGTGACAATTGGTTATATCGTTTTCATGGGGCGTGGAAATCGAGGGCGCGGTTTCCACGCCCCATGAAAACGATATAATCAATACTACTCGGCTTCTATGATGTAACCTATACATACATACACGGGTTCGTAAATTAGGTAAAACAAGCAAATTAGAATTGTCCCTCGCTTTTGGTGCCTTTGTGGGCGAGATGTCATTTTTATGGAATATTGCGTCATATATGAACGCCTTTCATACGTCATCCAGGAGCTGTAATCGAAATTGATTTTTTGAAAATAAAACAGTTGTGAACGACAAGGTCAAGAGGTCAGAAATCATAGCAAGTTCGGAATTATCATTGTCACAGAAAATGCACATGTCATATATGAAAGCCCTATCTTTTCTCAATCAAAATTTAGATCGAAAAATTATCATTTTTTGAAAATTAGGTCAAACTTCAAGGTCAACCTCACAGATGTATTTAGAAAGGCCTTGTCACAAGCAATGCTCAGGTTTAACAAGAAAACCCTATGTCCTCTCATTCAGAAGTCCTGAGCAAGATTAATGTTTCTGAAAAGTAGGTCAAACTTCAAAGTCACAATGTAAAAAATTATTGTGTATTTAGAAAGATCTTGTCAAAAATAATACACATGTTTTATATGAAAGGTATATCTCTTCTCGTTCAAAAGATGGGAACAGGTTCTCATGTCACAGGTAATATATATGTGTAATATAAAAGTCCTGTCTTTTCTCAATTAAAAGATATGACCGAGGTTAAATTTTTTTGAAAAGTAGATCAAACCTCACTGTCAAGGTCAAGAGGTCAAAAATCATGGTGTATTTAGAAAGGTCTTGTCACAAGTAAAATACTTATTTAATATAAAGCTCAATCTCTTCTTATTCAAAAGCTATGGTCCATTCAATGTAATTTTTTTAAGTAGGTCAATCTTCAAGGTCAATGTAACAGGATAAAAAATTCTACGGTATTTAGAAAGTTCTTGTCACATGAATATGCATGTGTAATATGAAAGTCCTATCTCTTCTCATTCAAAAGTCACGACATAGGATTATCATAACGTTTTTATCTGACTGATGGACAGAACTACAGACTACTAGACTGACAGACGAATGACATTTAACGTCCCCTCTTTTTTGCAAAAGGGGGTGACAGTTAGGTATAGGCCTATCTGTATATCCTATAAACAATATATGTACACTGTTTTGATTGAATTGGTTGTATGTTGTTTTACCTCCCATTCGAGAATTGTTCACTCATATAGAGACGTCAGCCTATACCGGTAAAGTGTTTCATATAGACACGTCAACCTATACCGGTAAAGTGTTTCATATAGATACGTCAGCCTATACCGGTAAAGTGTTTCATATAGACACGTCAACCTATACCGGTAAAGTGTTTCATATAGATACGTCAACCTATACCGGTAAAGTGTTCCATATAGATACGTCAACCTATACCGGTAAAGTGTTTCATATAGATACGTCAACCTATACCGGTAAAGTGTTTCATATAGATACGTCAACCCATACCGGTAAAGTGTTTTATATTTTGACCTTTACTCGGCACTCAGGTTCATTGAGCCTACCCTGGACCGGGATCTAGCTTTTTAAGGTCTTAATCGAAGCACCTGCAACATTTGCTTTAAGGTTTCGTCAAAGGTCAACATGTCTTAAAAATTATTTTTACAATAGCCCCAAAACCATGTGTGGTAAAAAGTCAAAACGTTTACAGTTTATAAATATATCATTGATTAATAGATAGAAAGTATCATTTGATAAACAAATATTTTTAAATAGATATTTTTTGAGAAAAATTGTATCAGAAAATGTGAATATTAAAAGAAAAATGCACCACCTATGAAAACCATCATTGCAGA